TCAGCGGCCATGGCTCACGGGCCCAGCCGCTCCGCGGCATGTGGGATCTTCCCGGACCGGGGCACGAACCCGTATCCCTTGCATCGGCAGGCGGATTCTCAACCACTGCGCCACCAGGGAAGCCCAGTAGCTTCCTTTTTAATTAAGGTTTCCCAGATGAATGTTTTTTTTCCAGAATACCTTAGCCGGGGAGGCACCAGCTTACCCTGCAGCTCTCCCTGCGCTGTCCACTGCCCGCCGACAAAACACACCTCCCTTTGCTGGAACTGGGAATTCTCCCTGCTGTGGTCCCGCCTTTGCACCCCTGCCCTTGTCCTCCTCTCGCCTGGTATGCCCTTCCTCCCAGCAGTCCTGGTGACGCACCCATGGACTGGGTTTTAAAACATTCACAGTGTTTTAATACTCCTCCCCTCCAGAGATGGAGCCCTGCCCTTGCATGTGAGCTGGACGTAACGACCCACCTCTGAAGGATGGGATAAAGTGGAAGGCTGGTGGACACTTCAATTCTAGCCACTGTGGCTTCCTGCTTGCTCACTCTTTCTTGAAGTGCCCACTATGGGGGAACTCAGATTTCTGGACCACAGAAATTAGGAGGTAACAAATATATGTTGTCTTAAGCTGCAAAAATGTAGGTCAATTTATTCTATAGCAACAAATAACTAAATCGCCTTGGAATTTGTTAAAAATGCACATTCTTGGGGCCCAGTCCAGACTTATTATATCTGGGGGTGAAGCCCAGCCCTCCAAGTAATTCAGGATTCTTTTTTTGTTTTATTTTTTGAATTTATGATTTGTTACTTAGTAGGAGGTCAGGTTCCATGACATTTAATCCAGTGACGATGCCCTTTTCCACCTTGATCATCTGGCAGATTCCTACCCATCTTGTGTGTGTGTGTGTGTGTGTGTGTGTGTGTGTGTTTAAAAGATACGTAACATAAAATTTACCATTTTAACCTTTTCTAAGTGTATAGTTCAATGGCATTAAGTCCATTTATACTGTTGCGTAACTGTCACTACCATCCATCTCCAGAACTTTCTCATCTTCTCCAGCTGAAACTCTGAACCTATGAAACAATTGCTATCTTCCCTCTCCCCCGGCCCCTGGTAACCGCAATTCTACTTTCTGTCTCCATGAATTAGGCTATTATATTTACCTCATCTAAGTGGAATCATACATTTTCCCCTTTGTGACTGGCTTATTTTACTTAGCATAATGTTTTCAAGGTTCATCCATGTTGTAGCATGCATCAGAATTTCCTTCCTTTTTAAAGCTATGTAATATCCCATTGTATGCATAGACCACATTTTGTTTATCCATCTGTCAAGGGACACTTGAGTTGCTTTCGCCTTTGGGC